CGTCCTCTTGAAACAAACATTTTGCCATTGTCTTTAACCTCTGGAAAAATCATCTTTTCTCTAGCCTTTTCGGATTTTCGTTTGGTCATTAATTATAGCAACCAATACATATATTTTGCCTTCTGTGTTGTCCGAGTCGGGTTCGAGTTAAGATCAAGACCGCAACCCTGTTCACTGCCCTGCAGCAGGTAATATCCGGCCCCTTTTTTTTTTTTTTTTTTACCTCTGTTTTGCTATTGCGATTAATGCTCTGCTTTGTTATTGTGAATAAAGTGTTACGTATACTTTGATGAATTTCATGTATCTTAGTTTTATTGAAGGTTATTAAATTATTCACATCTTCTTTGAGAACTAAAGTCATTTCTTCTAACGTTTTAGCCGTCACTTGTTTAAGAAATAATTTTACGAGCTTAGTTTCTTTCATTCCAGGTTAACCGTTCTTTTGCTGCATTTGTATTATAAAAGTTTGCTGCCCATATTTTCTTAAATAAAAGTATGTCTAAAATGGATGGTTTCTATTTTTTGTATAGTTAGAATTTAAGTGAAAAACTATAAATATATTATGATCAAAAGCATTGCTCATAACTTCTGCTCTATATTGCTATATATGAATCTGAGCTTGAGCCTTTGACTTAAGGGATAAGTTTTGATTTAGGTTGGTATATTAACTTGAAATAAATGTTTGTTAGTTACTTGTTTCCTCTGCTAAATTGTAAAACATACTGGATATAGCTTCATATATATATGATATTAATCTTGAGCCTCTTTTCTGTTATTTCCTTAGCAGATATGTATGTATAAGCTTCTTTCCTAATTGTAAGTAATGGCATGTTAAATCTCAAATATCTTTTTAGCAAGATAATTTTCTTACCTTTTAAAATTTGATGGGTCTGGATATAATATAGTGCTTAAAAGAGATTATATTAGTTGTTATGAATCACTAATTATTACAAAGGTTATAATTCTTGTAGCACTTAGCGCATATTTATGTAGTCAAAATAGTTTATTTGATGTGTAATATTACTTAGCTCTACTTATTTTATTTTAATATATCATTTTAAAGTTGATTATCTTCCTAATCTTTTTACCTTCCCTTTCTTTACATGTACACTCGGAGCGCGTATGGAGTTGCAATATGACTCCATCCCTATCCAAATTAGAGAAGCGACCAATCTTGCATTTAGCTCGTGTCTAGAATGATTCACTCATTCCAAAAGAAAATCCCGCACTTCCTCTTTATCTCAAAGCTTTATATTTTTTATGCATGCATATATGTTGTTATCTTTGACTAACATTTTATACTTTCTTTCGGCACCTATATTTATGTTTCGTTTCAATTTATATTTGAACTTATGCAAACTAATTAACTAAGAACTTAAGCAAACCTAGTAGCTCACCTTCCCCTCCTCAACTCCTCTAGATATTGGGTTTAATATATCAATTTGGCTTAGAACAATGATCTTTAATTTAAGTTCTTTTGTTGCTTAATTCGTTTGTTAGTTTGAGAAATCTTTGTTTTGCAAAGAAGTTGGACCCTTTTTTTTAATGAATATGTATCAACCCTTAAACTGTACTTTTTGATAAACTAAGGTCTTAAATACAACTTTTCTAACACTTTCCACAAACCTTTGTTAAAATTAAAAAAAAAAAAACAAAAGTATAAATATTTGAACTCTAAAGTGAGTTATTTTGAGAATTTAAAAGGGGCGATTTGTATGTCTTTGTTTATACTTTAAAGATGTTAACTCTATAAAATGTTGATATGTCTAAAGCTTTAAAACACAACTCCTTTTTGAATTTTGAGTAGGCGAATTTGAAGGTAAAAGACTTTCAATTGGATAAAAACTTTTATTTTTTTATCAAGGCAAAAATATGTTTTCATTATCTTTAGCTTTAAGATTTCCTTGTTAATTCAATTTCATAAAAAGATTTTCTTTTTAAAACAAAAAAGCATTTGACTTGTGGTCAACTATTTTGAAGAAAACAAATTATGCATGTTTCATTCAAACTCCTTTTTCTCGCTAAAAATCAAGTTTAAATTAATGGTTGTTTCATTTCATTCTTTTAGATCTTTCTATATGAAGTTAGTATATTTTAAGGTTTTTATACTTTAATCTTTTTTAGGTTATTTTGCCATGATTTAATTAATACTAGTTTTTCTTAGCTTTTAATGGTTATTTTATTTTTCTCTAACTAACCTAAGTTTGGCCGGTTAATAGTTTTAAAACTAATCTTAAAGGATGCCTTACCCCTTCCCTTTAGGATCAATTAGAACTCTTACCTAGAATCGCATAAGTTAGTAGACCTTAATTGAAGTCAATTTTGGTATTACTTAGTTAATAATTGAAGTCATTTTAGTATTACTTAGTTAAATATTTAGGTGTCCTAATTCACCATAATTAATTAGGTGGCGACTTCTTAAGTTAGTTAATTTGGAAATCACCAATATGTTGTACACTAATTTGACCTTGGTTAAAATGGGGTATAACAGCTTGGCGACTTCACTAGGGAATTTAGGTTCTAAACCATAACAAACTTAGGTTAATAATTACGTTTTTAACACCTGCTTGTTTCATTTTTGTTCTTTGTTTTATTTTAAGTGCCTAAGTGCTTTACTTATCATGCTTATATGATATAAACTGCTTATTTGTTAATATTATATATTAATTGTTTATTTGCTACTCTTCATATAAACTGTCATTCCGATCATAATTCCTCCAATTCTGGAAAACTCACACTATCACACGTACACGCGAGGTGTGTTTTGCGCACCCGCAAATTTCTTTCAAAATCCCAAATTTAGGAGAGTTGGCATATGCGCGGGGTGTCCGGATCTTTTTCCGTGTGACCGCGTAGCCTTCTCACTCGAGTTGTCCACTCGGGAACCTTGTGTCTAGTAAGCCAAATCTTAGAAAACATAAGATAGAGCTAAACCACCCCTTAATTTAAGTCATGCATGCATTCACCTTAGGTGGATCGATCCCGGGTATCGAATCCACATTTAAGAAATCTACCCTTTTTGTCGACGGGTTTCACGACCCAACGACCAACAAGCATGTTTTGTGCAACGTGATAATGATAGACAGATCCAAGCCTAATTTTGACATAGTGAGTTTGGAATTTATGTGTTCATTTCATTTCAATTTGTAATGTAGGATGAGTTCAGCCCCCCAAGTGCCCAAAGTTAGGATGGTCGAGGGTTTCCCGCACAAATTGAGGACATGGTGGGAAAATTTCACTCCAACTGAGAAATTAGCGATTACAAGAAGGTTGGGGTTGCCTCCCTCTGCTATTCAAAATCACCCCCGACAAACACGTGATTAGAGCACTAATTCAATTTTGGGATCCAGACCGTGTTGTGTTCGCCTTCAAAGACTTTGAACTAACCCCTACATTAACCTATATGAAAGGTATGGACGCTCGAATAGTTACAAGATGTTTAGGAAAGAATTCTCTTGTACTCAAGTTCATTGGCAAGTTAGACGTCCTATTACATTTGCTGTGGCTTTACTAGGGACTTTGGTATTCCCACGAGAACACGGATGCATTAGCACTTGCATATGTTCTGTAGCTCGAGTACTTTTTGAGGGAGTAGATGGCGAAGAACTCACTGTGGTTCCCATGATTTTAGCAGAAATATTTCGAGCTCTTGGGAAATGTAAAAGAGGGGAATCAAACTTCTTTGAAGGTTGCAATCTTCTTTTACAAATGTGGGTAATGGAACATTTTCACCAACGTAAAAACATGGATGACATATGTTTTAGCAACATAAATCATATTAACAGTTTTTACGATAGGATGAAAGAGTTTGTGTATCCGGTTGGTACTGATGATTGGTATGAGTTTCTGGCCCACCGCACTAGTGACCAAATTCAGTGGAAATATCCATTACTCCCACGTTCCCCTGCTTATATCAGATAGAGAAGGTTTTATTATATCGAGCTTATTGGGTTAAAAGGTCTCCAGCCATATGCTCCGGTGCGCGTGCTTCAACAGTTTGGTCAACCACAAGTAATTCCTCTTCGAGCAAATATGAGGAATTCTGAAATTTCCTTTGGACCAAACTTTGAAGTCCCTAGAGTCAAAGAGATTCTTCATGAGTGGGACAATATCCTCACGATAGATATCGGAAATGGGCCTGAAAAGGAATTACCAGAATACCAGGTATGGTTTCAAGAAGGTCGCAATAGTATAAGTTCAGAAGGTGAGCAAGGTTTCGAGGACATTGGAACGACGATTTGGATAAGACATTCTCGTCTTGGAACCAAAATAGTTACTCCTGAAATGTGGGCTCAAATGGAAAATATAATGCGATATTTGGACAATGCGGGAGCAGGACCTAGCAACGTGGGAGCATCATCTTCACTTCCTCCACCAGCGTGATTGATAGCAGTTTAGGCCAAGTCTTAGATTTGTCTTTATATTATGTCATCTTCTATGTATTTCTTAGTTTCTTCGTTGTACTATTTTATTTGTATTAATGAAAACTTGGCCTTTTGTTTCCCAAACTCGAGTTGTCACAAATTAATGGCTTGGATCAATCTATCATAAAACGTTATGTTTGACATTTAGGCCCACCTCTGGCAAAAAGAGGTCCCGTGCATATTAGGATGCATTTTCTGTTTGAATATCTGTTTTGTTATATGATTTACTTGCTGCGTAACACATGTTTGTTCTTTATTTATTTACTGTTATTATTCAATTACCTGCCTAATTATTAATATTATTGAAACAACGATCACCCACTTGATACTAATATTTCTCTCTTTTGAAGGTTTTCTTCCTTTTGATTTATTTCCCCAAAGGTTGATTTGCGTTGACTACGAACTGGCGGTTCATCCATACTTTACGAGATCAAAAGCCCGTGCAGACATGACTGATTCAGGTGCATCTGATCAAAACGGTTTGGGACTTGTCACTGTCCTGAGAGATGAACCCGAGACTTCGGAAGGAATGGAACCAATCCCTTATGATGTACACATTGCCAATTTGATGCAAAAATGGCCGATATGCAAAGTGAGATTGATCGACTTCGAAACCTCACCAATTTGTCCATCACTTTGAACACGCCACTTCCCGAGCAAGGAACAAACACAACTACTCCGCCTCTTTTTCCACATGTTGACTCTCCTACTCCTCAATACTTTCCACCAAACCCTTCCATTCACAAGACCAATCCAACTGCTTCCAAACAATCCACCAACCCTCTACAACCCAACTTTCCACAAAACAATTCGCAACAAGCCAACCCTTTACCCTTCACTACCCCATATGCGCCCCAAACTTCACTTACCCAAACTCCAGTCACCCAAACTACCCCACTCACCCAAACCGCCTTACCTTCCCAAAAATACCAAACGACCCAACATACACCGGTGGCACACACTGCAATCCCTAATGTTCAATATGTGCCTCAAGTATATGTAGCAGAAGCTCAACCTTTCCTTAATCCAATGCCAACCATGCCAGAAGTCGATCCATATGAAGAGATGGAGAAAGAAGCAAGGTCAAGAACGGATGACAATGTAGCAAGGGAGATTCGTAATTTGAAGGAAGCTTTCAAAAGTATCCAAGTCCATAAGGGGGTTGAAGGTCTTGAATATGAGGATTTATGTGTTCATCCCGATGTTGAATTACCCGTGGGGTATAAGGTACCAAAATTTGATGTATTTGATGGGAAGGGAAATCCTCGAGCTCATTTAAGGTCGTATTGTGACAAGTTAGTTGGAGTGGGGAAAGATGAGGCCATTAGAATGAAGTTGTTTATAAGGAGTTTGACAGGAGAGGCCCTTGATTGGTACACGAGTCGAGACCCACAGAAATGGAATAGTTGGGGTGCGATGGCGCAAGAATTCATGGATAGGTTCAAGTTTAACACTGAGGCAATTCCAGACAGGTTCTACTTGATGAAGTTGGAAAAAAAGTCAACAGAGTCATTCAGAGAGTATGCAATGCGGTGGAGAGCAGATGCCGCAAAAGTTCAACCACCAATGGCAGAAAGTGAGATGACCTCTCTTTTTATACAATCCCAAAAAGATGCAACGTACTATGAAAAGATGATAAGTGTTGTAGGGCAAAAGTTCTTGAGGTTGTCAGGATGGGAGAATTTATTGAAGAAGGTATTAAAACTGGGAGAATCACTAATTTGGCAGCTCTGCAGGCGACAAGTAAGGCAATTCAGTCGGATTCAATCGGAGGAGCCCTTAAGAAGAGGAAAGACGGTGTGTCTGCTGTCATGACCATCCAGGAACGTAGGCCAAACCAAATGTTAACCTACCAAAACCCATTACCCCAACCTTCATACTATAGTCAGTATACCCAAATTCCTCAACCATATTATCAACCCTCACCTGCCCCTTACCCAGTTTACACCACCCAACCAACGTATTGTCCACCTAGAGCACCTGCCTATCCAAATCCATCACGATACCAACCCGCATATCCAGCCCAATCCCACTACCAACAACAAAACCGTCCATCAAATGCACCCAGACCCCGCCCAAACTTTGAAAGAAGACCAGCCAAAACCTATACACCTTTAGCTGAACCTTTAGCCCAACTATATGAACGGTTGAGAACTGCAGGAGTACTCCAGCCAATCCAAGGACGAATTCCCAATCCCCTTCCTAGATGGTATGATGAGACCAAGCATTGTGCATATCACTCTGGAGCTGCTGGACATGACACTGAAAGTTGCCTCACTCTCAAAGACAAGATTGAGGCATTGATCAAAGAAGGAATCATTCAACTCAAAGGTGTTGCCCCCAATGTAAACAACAACCCGCTGCCCAATCATGGCAATGTTCACATGATCACCGTTGATGAAGATTGCAACTTGGAAGGAACCATAGTACCAGTCAAGATAGAGAAGAATGTTGAGACATCGGCCTTTATTGCTCCTGTAATCACAGTCCAAGTACGAGCGCCAATTGAAGTTGGAAGCTTTTCTTCCTAAGCCTAAGATCGTGGCCCTTGCCGTTCAATCATCCCCTTTTGACACTAATGCAGTTCCTTGGGATTACTCGACTGATGCAAGGGACAAAGGAAAAGGAAAAATAGTCGTAGAAGCTGCTGCTGCAGGAATGACAAGATCCGGGCGTTGTTATGCCCCTGAAGAAGTTGTACGAGGAGGACCAAACAAGGAAAACAACCAAAAAAGGGTTGTGACAGAGGCTGAAGTGGAAGATTTCTGGAGGAAGATGCCAACTAAGGAATATTCAGTTGTTGAACAGCTAAAGAAAACTCCTGCTCAAATTTCCTTAATGGCCTTACTGATGAATTCTGCAACTCATAGGAACGCTTTGGTGAAGGTTTTAAGTGAAGCATATGTTCCAGCTGAGACCACCAGTGAGAACTTTTCTGCCATGGTAGGACAAGTTTTAGAAGCTAACAAAGTCACTTTTCATGAAGATGAGTTGTTGCCTGAAGGTTTGGGACATAACAAAGCGTTGAACATTACTGTCAGATGCAGGGATAAGTTTATTTCAAGAGTTCTGATTGATAATGGTTCAGCTGTTAACATATGCCCTTTCACTACTCTTCGAGCTTTGGGAATTGACATTGGAAAGATTCGTGAAAGTCATGTAAGGGTTAGAGGATTTGATGGGACACAAAGGGGAGTCATTGGAGAAATTGATCTGCCATTGCAAATTGGACCTGTGGAGTTCATTGTTCATGGAGAAGGTAACAATTCGATACATCCTGAAAATTCAGTCTCTTTTATTGAAAGTATGGAAGAATTGGATGGGTCCGTATTCCATATTCGGGAAATTATGTGTGCTACTCAATATGAAAAGGAAAATTTGCCATGTGTGCTTATGATGGTTTCTTGGGAAATGTTGAAGACTGGTTTTATTCTCGGTCAAGGTCTTGGAGCGAAACTGGATAGAATAGTGGAACCAATTCAATTACCTGGTCAGAAATACACCTTTGGTCTTGGATACGAGCCTACTCCTGAAGAAATCTCGTCGGCTAATCTCAAAAGGAAAAGTGACAATCCCTTACCACGACCTATCCCACCCTTGAATCAGTCATTTTCCAAGGCGTTTGCTACAGAAGGATTAGAAGAAGCTGTTGAAGATAACCTCACAGAAGGACTCAAAAACTTGTTCATTGAAGAAACGGAATGCAATATGATTTTGGAGGACTGCACTGAGGCCCCGACCATATGGGATGCTATGCCTGGAGATGCTTTGAACAATTGGACTTGTAACCCGTCCCCGTTCCTCCGGGAATCTTGGTAGATGATTGTATTAGAATTAACAAAACAACATGATTCAAATTGAGGCCTGAATCGTGTTTTTGAATTTGATGTGTTTTGCCTCTATCTTTTGAAAGCTTAAATGCCAAATCTATGTTACCTTTTTCTACTTTAAATTTTAAAATTTGTCCTTGATTATTTATTTTATTTTTATCTCTTTTCTCTCTTTCAGCAAGCAAACTAATAAATCTGTCAATGCCGAAAATGTGACATGTAATGAAACGAGCGAACAAACCCCGAACAGTGAACAAACTTTTGCAGAATATGAAGAAGATGTGCAGTCTGGAGAGTTGACCAAGGAGTTTGAACATTTTGAGAATAAAGAAAAGCCAAACTTGGATGAAACAGAGACGATAAATTTGGGAGATTCAGCAGAGTTGGTGAGAGATACAAGAATTAGTGTCCATTTGACTTCGTCCCAAAGAAAAGAACTTATTGATCTTTTGAGACAATACATGGATGTGTTCGCATGGTCTTACGATGATATGCCAGGTCTAAGCACGGATATTGTTTCACACAGATTGCCAATTGATCCCTCTTGCCCCCCAGTAAAGCAAAAGCCGAGAAAGATCAAGCCTGATTTGAGTTTTAAAAGGTTAAGGAAGAAGTCTCCAAGCAATTTGATGCCAATGTCATTCGGGTCACCAAGTATCCCCACGTGGTTGGCCAACATAGTACCAGTGCCAAAGAAAGATGGAAAAATCAGAGTATGCGTAGATTATCGAGATCTCAACAAGGCTAGCCCGAAGGATGATTTTCCTCTCCCAAACATTCATATACTTATTGATAATTGTGCAAAGCATGAGTTGCAGTCATTTGTTGATTGCTTTGCAGGATATCATCAGATTCTAATGGATGAAGAGGATGCGGAGAAAACTGCATTCATCACGCCTTGGGGAGTGTATTGTTATCGGGTAATGCCTTTTGGACTCAAAAATGCAGGGGCAACATATATGAGAGCTATGACTACCATATTTCATGATATGATCCATAAGGAGATTGAAGTTTATGTGGATGATGTCATCATCAAGTCACGGAAGAGCTTAGATCATATAACAGATTTGAAGAAGTTCTTTGACAGATTAAGGCGGTACAATCTGAAGTTAAATCCCGCAAAGTGTGCATTTGGTGTCCCTGCTGGGAAGCTGTTGGGTTTCATCGTGAGTAGGAAGGGGATAGAGCTGGATCCTTCAAAGATAAAGGCTATTCAAGACTTGCCTCCTCCAAAGAGTCGAAAGGATGTAATGAGTTTTCTTGGTCGCCTTAATTACATTAGTCGATTCATTGCACAATCTACAGTAATTTGCGAGCCAATCTTCAAGTTGTTGAGGAAAGATGCTGCAACAAAATGGACAGAAGATTGTCAGAAAGCTTTTGACAAAATCAAGGAGTATTTGTCTAGTCCACCAGTCTTAGTGCCCCCAGAATCTGGAAGACCGTTGTTGTTGTATTTGTCAGTATCTGACAATGCATTTGGATGTGTGCTGGGACAACATGACGAAACTGGAAAGAAGGAGCAAGCTATATATTACTTGAGCAAAAAGTACACTCCTTATGAAGCTCGATATACTTTATTGGAGCGCACTTGTTGTGCTTTGACTTGGGTTGCACAAAAGCTGAGACATTATTTATGTGCGTATACCACTTTTCTCATCTCAAGGATGGATCCACTCAAGTATATATTTCAGAAGCCTATGCCCACTGGAAGGTTGGCGAAGTGGCAAATTTTGCTATGTGAATTCGACATTGTTTATGTCACTCAAAAGGCCATCAAGGGACAAGCGCTAGCTGATCATCTCGCTGAAAATCCCGTGGATGAAGAGTACATGCCTCTTAAAACTTATTTCCCTGATGAAGAGGCCTTATTTATTGGAGAGGACATTTCCGAAGAATATCCCGGTTGGAGAATGTTTTTTGATGGTGCTGCGAATTCCAAAGGAGTCGGTGCTGGAGCAGTGTTGATTTCAGAATCAGGTCAACATTATCCTATCTCAACAAAGTTCAGATTCTTATGCACAAATAATATGGCGGAGTACGAGGCTTGTATTCTTGGGCTTAGAATGGCTATTGACATGAATATACAAGAATTGTTGGTTATAGGTGATTCCGACCTATTGATTCATCAAGTTCAAGGCGAATGGAGCACCAAAAATGTGAAGATACTCCCATATTTGTTATGTGTGAAAGAATTGTGCAAGAAATTCGTTAAGATAGAATTCAAGCATATTCCTCGAGCTCAGAACGAGTTTGCAGACGCGTTGGCAACCCTGGCTTCTATGATTCAACATCCAGACAAGAACTACATAGATCCAATCAAGGTTAATGTGCAAGATCAGCCAGCCTATTGTTTCCATGTAGATGAAGAACCGGATGGAGAACCTTGGTACTATGACATTAAGAGGTATCTTAGAGAAGGAGACTATCCAGAAGGAGTAAACAATGTTCAAAAGAAGACACTTCGGAGACTCGCAAATCACTTTTTCCTAAGTGGGGAAATCCTTTATAGGAGGACTCCAGATTTGGGATTGTTAAGATGTGTTAACTCTCAAGAGGCAAGCAAGTTGATTGAAGAAATACATGGGGGTACATGTGGGCCGCACATGAATGGTTTCACTTTGGCAAAGAAGATTCTACGAGCTGGATATTTTTGGATGACCATGGAAACAGATTGCATCCGTTTTGTGAGAAGGTGTCATCAGTGTCAGATTCATGGTGATTTGATTCGGGTTCCGCCGAATGAGCTAAATGTGACGAGTTCTCCTTGGCCATTTGCAGCTTGGGGCATGGATGTCATTGGCCCTATTGAGCCAGCCGCCTCAAATGGACACAGGTTCATTCTGGTAGCTATTGATTACTTTACAAAGTGGGTAGAAGCATCTTCATACAAGTCTGTGACAAAGAAGGTGGTGACAGATTTTGTTCGTAATAACATCATTTGTAGATTTGGGATCCCCGAGTCAATTATTACAGATAATGGAGCTAATCTCAATAGTGGTTTGATGCATGAGATATGCGAGAAGTTCAAAATTATTCACCGCAATTCCACTCCTTATCGACCTCAGATGAATGGAGCAGTTGAGGCCGCCAACAAAAATATCAAGAGGATATTGCGGAAAATGATTGATAACTACAAGCATTGGCATGAGAGTTTGTCCTTTGCCCTTCTTGGCTACCGCACCACAATTAGGACTTCGACTGGGGCTACACCTTATCTTTTGGTTTATGGAACAGAAGCAGTATTACCAATGGAAGTTGAGATACCATCTCTAAGGATCATCCAAGAAGCTGAGTTAAGTGATGCCAAGTGGACGCAAAACCGGTATGAACAATTGATGCTCATTGATGAAAAAAGAATGAATGCAGTTTGTCACGGGCAACTTTATCAACACAGGATGGCCAAAGCTTTCAACAAGAAAGTAAGATTGAGACAGTTTGAACCGGGACAATTGGTGTTGAAGCGAATATTCCCGCATCAAGATGAAGCTAAAGGAAAGTTTGCACCCAATTGGCAAGGACCTTACATAGTTCACCGAGTACTAACTGGAGGAGCTTTGATTCTAGCAGAAATGGATGGCAAGATATGGCCAAAAGCTATCAATGCAGATGCGGTTAAGAGATACTACATCTAGAGGTTTCTATTTCATTTTCTTGTAATCTTTTGTCATGTATTGGAAACTACGTCTTGACCTGATTCCCATGGCGGGATACGTAGGAAATCCACATCGGATTTGGTCCTTTAGTAGGTTTTGCAAAAGTTCCTTTCTATGTAATATGAACTACGCTTGGCCTGATACCCTTGGTGGGATACGTAGGCGGCCTATATCGGCTTCGGTCACTTTATTAGAATTTTTTTCATTTCTCCATTTCTTTGTAGGTAGCGAACTACGTATGGCCTGATTCCGTTCGGATACGTAGGCAACCCGAGGAGGGTTCGGCCCCTTTATTTCAATTTTAATTATGTCCTTAGGTTATGTTTGGCTTGGTGCCATGATAGAATAGTGTGCAGCCTATAGAAGGTTTGGAATCATCGTGACCAAAGGACAACGCATCTCTTTCGCAAAAACTGGGACAATTTTTAAGGGTATTATTGCAAAAAGATATCAAGATATTTGAAGAGTATATGGTCAATCGAATCATCCAACAGAAGAAAGACTTCAGATAAAGGACGTTCGCTTTGTTTCATGATATGTCACAATTTGAAGTTCGACAAAATTCTTTATTGATATATATACATATATAATTTTATCTTATTTTCAAATATGATTTTCAATCAAATGTTTTCGTTTTATTTATTTTCTTGTTATCCATTTAACCAAGATTTAGAATTGACGGAGGTTATGAGTCCAACCAAAGCTGGAAGAAAGAAGTATGAAGAGCCAGACCTTCAAAGTCAACGCGAATCAACCTCCCCCAAAACTTATAATTTTTCTTTGAGTGCAGGTTTATCAGAATTACCAGAAGCTGAGAAGTCAATAACATTCATAGCATCGAAACGACTCTATGTCGAGTGGTTTGAGTTACTTACTTATAAATTTATAATTCAAAAACTTATAAGTAAAGCTTTATAAGTTTTCAAATGTGTTGATAACAAATTTTATTTAATAAAACAATGCACATGATTTTGCTCTGCATAAATGCCTTTAAATGCACTGCACAAATGTTTTCAGATATTTTCAAGCGCGCTGCACATTTGCTTCGAGATATTTTTTAAAACGCACCGCACAAATGCTTTCAGATTTTTCGCATACATGCTTTCAAATACTTTAAACGCACTGCACAAATGCTTTCAGATATTTTCAAATGCATCGCACAAATGCCTCGCACAAATGCATATTTTCAAATGCACTGCACAAATGCCTTCAATTATTTTCAAACGCACTGCATAAATGCTTCTAAATATTTTCAAGTGCTTTATATTTCGCACAAATGAATATCTTCAAATGCACAAAATACTTTCAAGTATTTAAAAAGGAATTCTACATAGCTTTATCGCTTTCTAATGCATTGCACAAATGCTTTCAGTTGATTGCACAGATGCTTTCAAATATACTGCATAAATGCTTTACCAGTCTGCATTGCTTTCAAAGACCTCCTTTCATAAATCACCTGGCTTAAAAGGTCTCATTTTTAAATCATTTGGCTAAAAGCCTCATATCCATAATTTATTTGGTTAAGGCCTCATTTTCATTAATCATCGCTGAAAAGCATCATTTCTCATGAATCATCGGCCTTAAACCCCTTTTTCATTAATTTTGCAAGGTTTCATCTCATTAAGTCATTTCGGCTTGCAAGGCCACATTTTCATAAATTCACACCCAGGAAGTGTTATTTCCATGTGTTTATCGCACCATGCTTTATGTTTAATATTATTAACTGTTTTGTCAAGTTTGAGTTCTGCAGGGGTTTTAGCACAACGTGGAACTTTATCTAAGCAGTGAACTGGGGCAATTTGTTGAGAAAGTTTAGCTTTCCAACAAAGGTCAAAGGTCTGCCTCGAACTCTACTCGACTCCAATCTTGAATACTCTCCTAGATCACAATACCAATAACATCATAATTCACACCGGGGCAAACTTTGATACATTTGTTAGTCGGGACAAAATTGGCTTGAAAGGAAAAAGGCTAAGAAATTCAGCCCAAAACCCCAAATCAGACAAAACTTTTCAGCCCACATATTATGCCGAAATATGTCAAGAATTAGGCCCAACTGACGTTTCACTCTTCAGCCTCAAAGTCTTAGAATTAGATGAGGTTTTTCTTTTCTCTGAACGCGCGTCCTTCTCCTCCAAAAATGGCCAAAGCGTCAAGCCTCTTTCACCTTTGACAGACGCGCTTCTCCATTTTCATGCAAATCTCGTTTATGCCGATTGAGTCTCCTTTTCTGTCATTACTCGTGGTTGATTCAGTCGAGAAGAGGCCAAAAAACTTTTTCTGCAATTTCTGGTGGAGACGTAGCAAGGATTTCAAAATTCAAACGACAAATTTGTTTCTGAAATCCCGCCTAAAACTTGAGAAAGAAGAACCCTAATTCCATCCTATAAGTATGAGGAGAAAGTGTTTGTTTTGGACAAGTTTTTGGCAGCCGCCGTCGTCCTCTTGAAACAAACATTTTGCCATTGTCTTTAACCTCTGGAAAAATCATCTTTTCTCTAGCCTTTTCGGATTTTCGTTTGGTCATTAATTATAGCAACCAATACATATATTTTGCCTTCTGTGTTGTCCGAGTCGGGTTCGAGTTAAGATCAAGACCGCAACCCTGTTCACTGCCCTGCAGCAGGTAATATCCGGCCCCTTTTTTTTTTTTTTTTTTACCTCTGTTTTGCTATTGCGATTAATGCTCTGCTTTGTTATTGTGAATAAAGTGTTACGTATACTTTGATGAATTTCATGTATCTTAGTTTTATTGAAGGTTATTAAATTATTCACATCTTCTTTGAGAACTAAAGTCATTTCTTCTAACGTTTTAGCCGTCACTTGTTTAAGAAATAATTTTACGAGCTTAGTTTCTTTCATTCCAGGTTAACCGTTCTTTTGCTGCATTTGTATTATAAAAGTTTGCTGCCCATATTTTCTTAAATAAAAGTATGTCTAAAATGGATGGTTTCTATTTTTTGTATAGTTAGAATTTAAGTGAAAAACTATAAATATATTATGATCAAAAGCATTGCTCATAACTTCTGCTCTATATTGCTATATATGAATCTGAGCTTGAGCCTTTGACTTAAGGGATAAGTTTTGATTTAGGTTGGTATATTAACTTGAAATAAATGTTTGTTAGTTACTTGTTTCCTCTGCTAAATTGTAAAACATACTGGATATAGCTTCATATATATATGATATTAATCTTGAGCCTCTTTTCTGTTATTTCCTTAGCAGATATGTATGTATAAGCTTCTTTCCTAATTGTAAGTAATGGCATGTTAAATCTCAAATATCTTTTTAGCAAGATAATTTTCTTACCTTTTAAAATTTGATGGGTCTGGATATAATATAGTGCTTAAAAGAGATTATATTAGTTGTTATGAATCACTAATTATTACAAAGGTTATAATTCTTGTAGCACTTAGCGCATATTTATGTAGTCAAAATAGTTTATTTGATGTGTAATATTACTTAGCTCTACTTATTTTATTTTAATATATCATTTTAAAGTTGATTATCTTCCTAATCTTTTTACCTTCCCTTTCTTTACATGTACACTCGGAGCGCGTATGGAGTTGCAATATGACTCCACCTCTATCCAAATTAGAGAAGCAACCTATCTTGCATTTAGCTCGTGTCTAGAATGATTCACTCATTCCAAAAGAAAATCCCGCACTTCCTCTTTATCTCAAAGCTTTATATTTTTTATGCATACATATATGTTGTTATCTTTGACTAACATTTTATACTTTCTTTCGGCACCTATATTTATGTTTCGTTTCAATTTATATTTGAACTTATGCAAACTAATTAACTAAGAACTTAAGCAAACCTAGTAGCTCACCTTCCCCTCCTCAACTCCTCTAGATATTGGGTTTAATATATCAATTTGGCTTAGAACAATGATCTTTAATTTAAGTTCTTTTGTTGCTTAATTCGTTTGTTAGTTTGAGAAATCTTTGTTTTGCAAAGAAGTTGGACCCTTTTTTATAATGAATATGTATCAACCCTTAAACTATACTTTTTGATAAACTAAGGTCTTAAATACAACTTTTCTAACACTTTCCACAAACCTTTGTTAAAATTAAAAAAAAAAAAACAAAAGTATAAATATTTGAACTCTAAAGTGAGTTATTTTGAGAATTTAAAAGGGGCGATTTGTATGTCTTTGTTTATACTTTAAAGATGTTAACTCTATAAAATGTTGATATGTCTAAAGCTTTAAAACACAACTCCTTTTTGAATTTTGAGTAGGCGAATTTGAAGGTAAAAGACTTTCAATTGGATAAAAACTTTTATTTTTTTATCAAGGCAAAAATATGTTTTCATTATCTTTAGCTTTAAGATTTCCTTGTTAATTCAATTTCATAAAAAGATTTTCTTTTTAAAACAAAAAAGCATTTGACTTGTGGTCAACTATTTTGAAGAAAACAAATTATGCATGTTTCATTCAAACTCCTTTTTCTCGCTAAAAATCAAGTTTAAATTAATGGTTGTTTCATTTCATTCTTTTAGATCTTTCTATATGAAGTTAGTATATTTTAAGGTTTTTATACTTTAATCTTTTTTAGGTTATTTTGCCATGATTTAATTAATACTAGTTTTTCTTAGCTTTTAATGGTTATTTTATTTTTCTCTAACTAACCTAAGTTTGGCCGGTTAATAGTTTTAAAACTAATCTTAAAGGATGCCTTACCCCTTCCCTTTAGGATCAATTAGAACTCTTACCTAGAATCGCATAAGTTAGTAGACCTTAATTGAAGTCAATTTTGGTATTACTTAGTTAATAATTTAGGTATCCTAATTTACCTTAAAATAATTAGGTGGCGACTTCTTTAGTTAATTAATTTGGAAATCACCAATACGTTGTACACGTTTTGACCTCGAGTTAAAATGGGGTATAACAACGGATACCTCTCAATCTTAACAACTTGAGGTGGTACAAACTTCCTATGGTATCAGGTATTATAGAGTCTATATACACATTCCCAGCATGCATATCCAAGTACAACACATATAGATGTTGGAACACACTCCTGAAGTTTATAAGACTCATCTTACGAAAATATCTATCGAAGAACATAATTGACCTCAACTTTAAGTTAGAAAGATCAAGTGAGAGGTACCTTTCTCCGTGACTATGAATCACATGTCTGATACATAAAGAGGATATGGAGTGGCTTCTTGGATCACAAATGTCAAAGAAGTTTACCTCCAATGTTGTATCGCAAGATCACGGAGTAAATCATGAACCCTACAGTCTTTCCCAAAATGTATAAGCCACTTGAACCAAGCTTCGTCTTATCAGTTCATTCAAGAAGCCTTCAGCGACATCCTCCATTCTTTCTTCTCCTCTGGGTATGAAACCCTCCGCCATCCACAACCGTATTATGTTATCAGCCTCGACCACTTGATCTTACTGGAAAAATACCAAAGTAGAGAAAACACTGCTTGAGCGCAGTTGACAAATCATTGTAGCTTAAGGATAGTATGTTAGAGATTTCAATAGATTTATCTTCTTTAATGTTCTTCCAAAGGTGATCTTTCACCTTTTGCCATTCGGTTAGCCCCTTTTTAGGCGAAAGTAGTCCGCTCAATACAACATTTGCAAGAGGTAAGCCTCTACACTTTTCCACCATATCCTTAGCTAGACTTTCCATTTCTGGAACCATTGATCGAACATCAAGTAGTTTCCTACGAAAGAGATCCCAACTTTCTTCTTGACTTAGGAAACGAAGTTTATGAACAAAACCTCTGTCGTCTGCTCTTTCAGCGACATCCTCTTTGCGCGTGGTAATAATGACTCTGCTGTCATTCTTGCTATCCGGGAATGCTCTCTTCAAACTCTCCCATGCTTCTTTCTTCCATACATCATCAACCACTACAAGGTATTTGCGTTCTTTCAATAGATCACGAAGATAAATTTCTAGATCTCCTTCTGTCATCCTTTCCAACAAATCTAGAGTTTCCTTGGTGAGACCTTGGATGCATTTTATGATATTCCTAAGAAGATCCATTGTGTTGTACTCTTGAGAGACACATATCCAAGCGCGTGTAGGGAAGCTATTGAGTATATCAGGACTGGTGTAAAGTTTTCTCGCAAGAGTGGTCTTGCCTAATCCGCCCATTCCATAAATGGAGAGGACACTTCGACGAGGCTCTGCTTTGAGAAGTTCAGCTAGCAATTTTTGTACAACATCCTGAAGTCCAACAAAAATGTAATCCTGATCATCCACATATGAGGTAGTTCTCCTCAATGTTGCAACCTGATTACTTGTCCCTTCTCCAGCATTATTATTGATATTTGTAATACCATAAGTTTCTCGCTTGCGAGAGATATCTATGATTCGCTGCTTGAGTGATTGAATCTCCTCGGCGACATTGTAGAATTTCTTCTCTTTCCTACATATGCAAGCGCAAGCCTTGAGATGACTAGCAAATTCATCGTCATCACCTTTATCAGCCTCAAAGCTGTAAGTCTCGAGTATAGCGACAGCATCATTAGCAATAGTGTTGATTTCAAACACCCATTGTTGAACTCTATGATCTACACATTGCTTTAGTTCTGCATCTTTGAGGAAAGACTGTATGAAGAGTAGCTCATTTCTCAGCCACTCAATTTCCTTTCTCAGATTTTTACGCAGGGAAACTTGTTGAATGAGGAAATCACCCAAATTTTGAACTGCAAATGACACAAAGGCATCAGCCATCTTCAGGAATACTACTTTTGATTGAAAAAAAGAGAAAGTTGTATATTGGAATACAAGTTAGAAAGTGGGATATGGAGATCATACACACTCAGAAGCAGTAGCTATAAAAGTAAGAGTACTCTAAAAGGGTCCACCTATCGCTTATGTGATTAAAGTTTAGAAAAAATGAAACATGTGGTTTCTGAAAGGTAAAATACTCAAATATGTTATTAAACTTTGAGAAAAGAATTATCATTATCATTTATTTAAAGTTTAACTTATTTGTGTCATTTTAATTAACAAATAATAACATAAATGGACATTTCCTCAAACAGAAATGACATAGAAATACATCAAAAAGACGTAAACATTTAATAAACGTGCTCCTTTCTTTTGTAATTATGAATATGAATTCTGGACAAAGGGATGTAATGCATGTGCATGAACTGTATATATTAAATGTGACAGCTTGTAAAATTAATTTTTACACCTAACTTTCTATTTGAGCTGAAAGTGAAATATCTGGAAATAAATTATTAAATGTTATCAGCTTGTAAAATTAATTTTTACACCTAACTTTCTATTTGAGCTGAAAGTGAAATATCTGGAAATAAATTATTAAATGTTATCAGCTTGTAAAATTAATTTTTACACCTAACTTTCTATTTGAGCTGAAAGTGAAATATCTGGAAATAAATTATTAAATGTTATCAGCTTGTAAAATTAATTTTTACACCTAACTTTCTATTGAGCTAAAAGTGAAATATCTGGAAATAAATTATTAAATGTGACAGCTTGTAAATTAATTTTTACACCTAACTTTCTATTTACACTGGAAGTGAAATATCTAAGAATAGATATTTCCTCCATTTCATATTAACTGAATTACTTATCTTGTTCTTACTTATATGTTGTCCTTATTAAAAATTGAAAGTCCTTAATACTCCCTCCGTTCAATAATAGTTGTCCACTATATTAAAAATAGTTGTCCAACAATACTTGTCCAGTTTAGAAAATCAAGAAATAATTTACATTTTCTATTTATTTTACACTTGATATTAAATATTACTTATCATCTAATACATTTCTCAAAGGATTAAATTTAATAAAGTTAAAGGATAAAATAGTAACAATTTATTGTTTCTTAAAGAGTGTGTCAAGTCAATAATGGACAACTATTGTTGGACAGATGGAGTATTTTTGTCATTTCACAAAATCAATGCATAAATGACATTATTCTTCCTATTTTATCCTTGAGAGTTATTAGCATTAAAAACATGGATTTGACCAACATAGAAAAATTAAATGATTAATCCATGTTCATTGGTCAACTAATTTATGTTCAATTATTGAAAAGTTGACTTCAAGAAAATACTAAGTAAGGGTACAATGGTAAACTTATATAGTTTCTTAAGGGACGTGAATACTATACTATTATTATTATTATTATTATTATTAAGGGTACAATGATAAACTTACATAGTTATTTTAAAACGAAGTTAGATACGAATAGATAAATTTTTCGTTACATTATGATTATTGTAATGAATTGAATAATTTTTCAAAAAGCGAAGACAAATAAATTTCATATGTGTACAACAGATGTGATGCATGGGCCCAATATTTATTGTTTTATATAAGTGTACTATATCTATTTTCTCAGAAATGTCAAACAAAAAGAGTCTGCATATAGTAATTGAATTTCATAGAAGATGATTAAACATGTTAATAAATACTGTTGCAATAAAATGAATTCTTTGTGTTCACTATATTCTGGCACAATAAGAGCGTAGGGTTAGCATATTAAATATTATCAATATCGATTGTAAGACCAATTAAGGAATTGTAATACTACAAAGTGGGCAAGATGGAGATTGTGCAGATAGTGTTAAACTTAGTAGTGCAAAATTTGTTTTTCCAACAAAATAACTTCAAACAAATTTCATACAAATAATGAAACCTACAATATGAAGTTAAATAAATTCTGGAAATAAAAATTCATATAATCAACAAGATGAAAGGAAGAAGAGTCAAGTCCTTTGAATTTACGGAGTTTCCTTAAGGAAATTATTCCCCTCAAGTACCCGAGGTTATGGAATATATCCTCCCAAGATAAAATGACTCAGGATAAACAAATAGTGGTACCTCAAATTTGTTGTCCAACGAACCACTCAATGGCGCTTGTAATCACACTTGAAGATTTTGGAAAAGCAAAAACTTTTTTTCTTACTATGTAGTGTTTTTCTTCTTGTAAACTTGTTTCAAAAACTTGTACCAATATCTGAGAAAGATTCAAATATTTATAGCCTATAGGTGAGCACAATGATTCATGCATGATATGTGAAAAGGTAGCCTAGAAATACGAAAGGTTGCATGAAAATACAAAAGGTTGCATTCATCTGTCATGAGTATTCATGAATGAAATAACTTCATTCATACTTGCAGGACTTTCACATTTTTTAATTCACCAATCTTTATTTTGTGTACCATTATCTATTCACACATTATACAATGAACCCAGCAATCCCCCACATGAATGAGAATGGCTATAACGCGAAAGATAAATATACACGGACTAGTGTGTGATTACAAACAAAGACTAGTTGCATCGGGATTAAGTGAGTTTCCCTTTAAACTTTTTCATAGTGAACTTATATCAAATGCACTCGATTAATCCGTAGATACGATATCTTTGAACCGTCAAATTTGAATGTACACCTAGACAATATAAGTCACACAACCAGCCTTTTACCATTTATGGTTCTCACAGATTTGTTCATTTCAGCCATGAACACTTCCTGATTTCATGAGAGCTTAGAGAATCGGTCTTTACTAACATTCTCCTTGAAGCGACTTCCACTTCACTCCCACATAGATGATTCCTAAATGTTTACTCCCGTAGAGAAACTACTTGGTCATGCCTTGCCAAACTTAGAAACCATTAAAAAAACTTCAATATAAGATTTATCCTTGGTTACTAAACATTGTCTTCATCATGAGAATGTGTTAGATTATTTGACAATGTTGGACCATCAAACACAACTTTATTTGATCTATTTGAACCTAGCTCTTGGGATCTCCAGTCTTCTAGGTAGAGTTACCATCATGCTCGACTTGTCTTATAGGCCTTAAACCGATCCTCTTAGATGACCTTTCAACTCCCTCTCTAGTTAGGCCTTTTGTAAGTGGATCTGATACATTATTTTTTACCATACATAGTCAATTGTGATAATTCCACTAGAGAGTAGTTCTCTAACAATATTTTGTCTCTGTGTTATGTGACGAGATTTACCGTTATACATCGTGCTCCCTGCCCTACCTATTACAGTCTGACTATCACAATGTATGCATACAAGTGTCAATGGCTTAGGCCAATACAGAATATCTTTCAAGAAATTCGGGAGTCATTCAGCTTCTTCACCGCTTTATCTAAAGCAATAAATTCAGATTTCATAGTGGAGCGAGCAATACATGTCTGTTTAGATGATTTCCAAGAGACTGCTCCACCACCAAGAGTAAATACATATCCACTTGTGGATTTTACTTCATCTGATCCGGTGATCCAATTTACATCACTATATCCTTAAATTACTGCTGGATATTTGTCATAATGCAAAGCATAGTTTTGAGTATGTTTTAAATACCCTAAAACTCTCTTCATTGTCTTCCAGTGAGTTTGATTGGGATTGCTCGTGTACCGACTCAACTTACTAATAGCACATGTTTTATCTGGTCGTGTACAGGTCATGAGATACATCAAACTTTCCAACACTCTCACATAGTCCAATTGTGAGTCATTTTCACATTTATTCTTTCGAAGTGCAAAGCTCAAGTCTATTGGAGTCTTGACAATATTGAAATCCAAATACTTGAACTTGTCAAGTACCTTTTCAATATAATGAGACTGACAAAGCCAAACCTTGTGGAGTTCGAAGAATTTTTATTCCCAATACAACATTTGCTACTCCAAGGTCTTTCATTTCAAATCTACTAGTAAGCATTTGCTTAGTAGCATTTATGTCAGCTAAGTCTCTACTGATGATTAACATATCATCCACATACAAACAAACAATGACCTTATGATTTGGAGTGTCCTTAATGTAAACACATTTGTCACACTCATTAATCTTAAGTCTGTTTGCCAACATTGTTTGGTCAAACTTTGCATGCCACTGTTTGGGTGCTTGTTTCAGTCCATAAAGTGACTTCACAAGTTTGCACACTTTTCTTTCTTTACCAGGAACTACAAACCCCTCGAGTTGTTCCATGCAAATTTCTTCCTCTAACTCTCCATTTTAAAAAGTTGTTTTTACATCCATTTGATGAATTTCAAGATCATATAATGTTGCTAATGCAACCATCATTCGAATAGATGTAATCCTTGTCATTGGCGAGTATGTATCAAAGTAATCAAGGCCTTCCTTTTGTTTGAAACATTTGACTACGAGTCTTACCTTGTACTTGTCAATAGTACCATCAACCTTCATTTTCATTTTAAAGGTCCATTTTGATCCTAAAGGCTTATTTCTCGAAGGAAGATCAACCAACTCCCAAGTATGGTTATTCAAGATTGATTCAATCTCACTATTGACATCTTCTTTCCAAAAATATGAATCTGCAGAGGACATTGCTTCTTGGAAGGTTTGAGGCTCATTGTCAATGAGAAATGTTACAAAATCTTATTCGAAGGAAGTAGCAGTTTTTTGACGCTTACTACACCTTGTATTTTCTTCATCTTGTATATCTTCCTTTGGTTCATCTTGAGGTTATTTAGACACCCCACTAGACTCTTCATATCTATCTTTATACAGGTAGATGTGTTCAAAGAATTCAACATTATCTTATTCAATTACCGTATAGTCATGAATATGATCTGGATGTTCAGATTTATGAATCAAAAATTGACATGTTTTGCTATTTATAGCATATCCAATAAACACACAATCCACGGTCTTTGGTTCTATTTTCAACCTTTTTAGTATAGGAACTTGAACTTTTGCTAGACAGCCCCACACTTTGAAATATTTCAAGTTGGGTTTCTTTCCTTTCCATTTTTCATACGG